GGGATTACCCCTCGCCAGGTGTGTTCAGGGCAGCAGGGTGTATGAGCCATGACACAGGAGGGAGAGGCGCCTGCACATGCCAGCTGTACCCAGGGACTGCGTGCAAGGACACCACTCGGGCTGGAAAGGGAGAGCGGCTGTCACCCTGGAAGACCCAGGTGGAAGAAAGGGAGACCCACTTCAAGTCCTCCAAATCCAAAAAACCCTCCCTGAGGCAGGAGCAAGGGGGGAAGCAACACTCATCCCCCCACCACACTCCCCTCACCCTCCCAGCACGGCCACGAGCCCCCATGTTCCTGCCAGGCTGCCGGGGAGTTCCAGGCGCTGCGGAAGGCGTTCACTGAAACTCCGGGCCACTCCTTCCCTCCCCGAGACGCAATCTCGTCCGACACGCTCCCCGCGCAGGGACCTGCAGTGCAAGTTTCCCGGTTGCCTGCCCTCCCTGCTCTGCTCCCCGCCGCCGTGCCGGCGGTAGGGCCGCGCTCACCCACCACTTTGGCACTGGAGCTGGTGGCCATCACCTCCTTGGGCACACCACGTTAGGGCGTCCCACGCCCCAGTTGTGCCCGGCCAGTCAGGGATGGTGTCGTGGCAGGTTGTGGGTGCTGCCAGCAGCAATGACGAGTGGTCAGCACAGCTCCCGTGCAGGGCAAAAGGGGCTGACCTGTGTGAGGGGCTGACCTGTGTGATGTCCTCGCCTCCTTGCTGGATAAAAGTTTTCTGCAGAACAAGGAAACTTAGGGGCTTTCCAAATCCCTCTGCACTGCTTCCCTTACGGACAATGCTGAGATGCGTCAGTAGGAAAACAATCCTGGATTTACCCGAGTCACAGCTGTGATGTGCCACCAGGCTGTCTCCAAAGCAGGATTTTGGGTCATCCTGCCACGGGAACCCCATGTCCAGCAGTGAATGGGACCCAGCCTGGCTTTGAAGCATCACCCTAGGCTGGTGGCAGAGGCCAGGAGGGTGCACAGGGTACATGCGTGGGGTGCAGCCATTTGGCACACCCCAGCAGCTGCCTCACCCCAAAGCCAGGCAATAAAACAGCCCGAGAATCCTTACAAAAGAGAGGTTGTCAGGTTGGCAATCGCTGCCAGGATCTACCAGGTGGGAGCAAAAGCAGGAGATGATTTAGTGACCAGCTGGTGAGAGGACAGGTGGGTCACAGCCCTGTCACCATCGGTCATGTGCCATCTCCCACAACACTCATTTCTAGCCCCAAATTTGCAAACTTCCCAAATTTCCAAACGGCCCGCCAGCACGGCCCAGCCCGTGGCAAAGGTGAAGGGCTAAGCCACGACTCATCAGTGGGCAAAGTTCAGGGCCGGCGCAGGCGCTGTGGGAACGCCCAGCTCCCAATGGGTCACGGGGTGTCGGGCACTGCTGGGTGGGGGTCCCCCAGTGCCAGAGTGCAGGGCCAGCCCACGGCGTGGGAACGTCATCGGCCATGGGCCCACACTTTTCTGTAATTACCCTAAGTTTAGCTCCGGCGCTCGCTGACCAGAAGATTTGCATCTCACAGGCCGGCTGGAAACCACACTATTTCTGG